TCCCAATCGTTGTCGCATCGCCGGTCGGAGGCGCTGAAAAGCCGCCGCCCGGTTGATTTCTTCGGGGTCCTCCGCTTGGGCCTGGACCTCCGGTTGTACCTGTAGAGCCTGCCGTGGTACCTCCATCGCTTCGGCACCCACCGACCCCAACCGCGAACGAGCCGAGCGTCGAGCCCGGGAAGTGGGCTGATGCTCCGGCTCTACTTGAGCAGTCGGGTAAATCGGAGGGGCGGCAGCTGGAGCCGTGTACGCAGGCGTGTAAGGGGGATAGCCGGCCGGTGTTATGCAGAACATCGGCTGACCGGGCCAGTACCCGTATGGAGGAGGTGAGACCGGGTAAGGATACTGCTCGGGGAACTGGGGCTGCTGACCGGGTGTTGGATATCCTGGCTGGATGTAATTGACCGGCTGTTGGGCGGCCGGATACTGAGCTGTTGGATGGGGCGGTGAGAGGTTGAGATTAAGGTCGATTGTCTGACCTTGATACTGGGTCGGCTGATGATCGGATGAGCTCGCCGCATCCGCTTGATCGTCGCCGAACATGTTGTATGCGAAGGGATACATTGTGATAGAAAGGACGGGTGCTCGTCAAGACGTTAACTTTCGTGCACGGTCCCCACAGACGGCGCCAAAATGATAGTGTTAATTGCCACGTAAGCGGTAAATAAACTAAGATAAGACCAATTAAAGCAAATAAATGTCTTTTATTGATCAATGTGAAGGTCCTAAGTACAATCTACACTGGCTATTCTGAGGGCCGACTGACTGCGGTCGGGATGCTCTAACAATAGCCTTTCGATCGTCCAAAAAGTCCCTCACATTGTTGCAGCCGCGGGTATTTATAGTCGCTGGGCCGGAGACACAAGTCCGGCCGTTCGGCATGTCACTCACGTAGCAACCACGTGTCGTCCTCCCGGGTGCCCTGCCTATCAGCACATAGCGTTGCCACGTATCTCTTCTCAGCTTTCTCGCCTAAGGGCTACCACTCGGTGGTCGACGACGCCGGTCGGGTGATGCCCGGTCGGGAACCGACTGGGTTCTTCTGAGAAATCCGACCTGTAACCTGCACAAATAAGAATAAAAAGATGAAGGCATGTCGGTCGGGGTATTCCCTACCACACAGTATTTGATTAAAGTTTAAATTTTAAATAAAAATTTAAAGTTTAACTATAACAGTTATTTTTATTTTTTTAGCTTAACTTTAAAGTTTATATATTTGATATAACTATTTAAAAAACAATTTTAGAATGAATTCTTTAAAAAAATTAATTATTGAATTTGGACTATTTTAAACATTGAAAACAAGATTGACAATAAATAAATAAATAAAAATCCAATTAGAACCGACTATTCAAACAGGAACCGCAGGTTATTACAGAACCGAAACTAGAACCATCATTGAAGGTTTTGATTCTGGTTCACCATTTTTCAAAATCAGAACCGAGCTGTGGTCACCCCTACTAGGTTGGTTGAAATGAGAATAACCCCTCCGGTAAAAGGTAATGATTGATCAATGCCACCCATCACCAATAGTTGAGAGTTTTAGTACAAAAACATATGTCAATTTATAATTGTGGCATATTTTTAAGTTTGAAATATTTATAAAACTGACCCATTTCTTTTCCCTTATTTTTAAGCTACTTGCAATTGTTGGTTTACGCAAATTGATGGATCAGATTAGTCATCACTTTTTACCTAGGAGCATATTCTCAGCCAAACCCTTCCATAATCAGATGAGAACCATGCCCCAGGTGAGAAACTGTGGACAAATCTAAACTACTAATGTAGTAGATTTATCTAACGGTTGAAAATAAACAAAACTTTGTAATATTTATGAAAATGACCCCGGTCATTTTAAAGCTTTGTAATATGTATGAAAATGACTCAAAAACTCATTTTTTTTACTTGATTTCTCATCCATCGATCTTACAGATCAATGGTTTTGATTGTCCATAAGTTCTCACTTGGGGAGTGGTTCTCATATGATTAGAATATATATATATATATATATATATATATATATATATATATATATTCAAATTGCCGTTAATACATATGTGTCATTTATTATTATTATTATTATTATTATTATTATTATTATTATTATTATTATTATTATTATTATTATTATTATTATTATTATTATTATTATTATTATTATTATTATTATTATTATTTATTAAATTTTTGAATATTAATTTTATCAAATACTTCTACCCCAGTTTTAAAGTTTCCAAGTTCCATTTTCTTGCTTCTAACTTTAATATTTTAGCCAAAATTTCAAATTTTAGATAGGCATGTAAAATAGAGCTTAAATATTACTTTCTTCCTCTTTTTCTCCTTTTAATTTTTAAAGGGGAAAAAGCCAAATAAATCATAAAGTTTATATGAAAAAAGTAATTAGGTACCTGAACTTTTAAAAATTACAATTAAACATACTAATTTATTATTTTAGTGCATTTAGATCTAACGATAGCAATTAAGGTACTTTAGTGCATCAACTTAGGTACAATATTCTTACTTCGATTTTATATACTTTTTACTTTAAATAATATCAATTACCCGTGCGCTTTCTTTGATTACTTTTGAATAAGGAATTATAGCAATTAAGGAATTATTACTTTTCGTAATATAACGTTTATCTAATCAGTTAAGAAAATTGATAATACACATATTACGACCACAATTGAAGAAGATTAAAAAAAATTATGATAATTATTCCAATTCACAAATTATTACGTCTATACAATTATGTAAATTATTCCAATTCACGTATTATTACACATAAAATTATGCTAATGGTTACTTTTGAATAAAATCTTAATAATTATGGTAATTAAAAAATTAATTCACACATTATACTTTTATTAAACTGTTTTTTATACTTAATTGCCGTAATATATATTTTATCTAATCAATTAAGAAAATTAATGATACACATATTGTGGACATAATTAAAGAAAATTAACCATACACATATTACAAACATAATTAAAGAAAATTAAATATACACATATTACGTCCATAATTAAACAAAATTAAGCATACCCATATTATTTTATTAAGAATAATATATATACTTCTTAATTATCATAATTATTAAGATTACATGGACATCATAATTAGCATAATATTAATTAAGAATAATATATATTCCTTAATTACCATATAGTAATCATAATAAAACCACCTCATTTTTATTGGAATTAATGATAATTTTTCATGTTCATATAAGAAATTAAATATACATATATTATGGTGGGTAATTCAAGAAAAATAAATATACACATATTACATTCATAATTAAAGGAAATTAAACATACACATATTACGTCCATATTATATTACCAATCTGTATTTAACACTTTAATATTACTATGATAATTAAACATAGAGATTCTCTTTATTTGATTATAGTATATTTTTGTTACTTAAAATAATATCAATTAGCCATGTTCTTCCTTGTATTTTTTGTTTAGACTTTTCTTAATATAATTTTTAAGTAATCAATTTCAATACTAATATACAAATCTTATAATTTCAAACAAATGTACACTTTGAAATATTAAAATTATTTATAATTTCATCATTAATTTTATTATTTAATTATATAATATAAAAATTTTATCCGTGCATTGCAGGGATAATTTACTAATACAAATTATATTTCATGTTTTTTCAAAATCAATCTAGTATATCATGTTAGAGGATCAAAAAATGGAATGAAAAGCTCTTCTAGAAATGTAAAACGTCTTTAGATAACATAATATTTTAAAAAATGAATTCTATATTTAAAATAATCTCATTCTTCTAAAATTTTAAGTAATTCAATATTTCTTAGGAATAACAACGAGGCGGGGAGCATACTCTCTGTCTATGTCCTCGAACCCCGCCTTGCTCCCCATTCTCGTCCCTATTTCCACAAAGACTTTTCAAATTTGAGAAATCCCTTATCTAGTCAACTCTATACTCAAACTAGTAATTTAATATAATTTTTAATATTTAAATAAACAAAATTAAATATAATGCACCGAGGATGAAATGAACAAGAAAAGATATCTCCGTCCATGTCCCCGTCCCCATCCCCGCTAGATCACGGGAATTGAAAATCCCCACGAGGTCGGGGAAAGTTTGCTATCCCTAATATTTGCTTCATAAATATTTTATTTCTTATGCTTAGAAATTTGGTAATCTCACGGAACAAAAAATCAATCATTATTCCTTTATTAAATTCCAAAACGAACACGGAATAATTAACACTAATCAAATGGATTACAAAATTTTGCTTTGCTATTTTTGTTTTGGGTGACAGAGAAAAATTAACTATTACAATTTGAGAATATACATAAATAAACTCACTCTTATGTAATAACTCATAAATCTTGATAAATTATATTACAAAATCTTGTATAATAAAATTTGAACAAGAAAATGTTAGTAAGAATCAAACTCTTGCGATTTTGGTTTGTCTATACAGACTTAACTCATTGGTTGAATAGATAATATTTAAAGGAAGAGTTAATGAACAATTTGGTCCCTCAATTATTAGTTAATTGTCAATGTAGTCCCTCAATTGCTTATTTATCGATTTGGTCTCTGAAAACAATTATTTTTAGTCGATTTAGTCCCTCAGGCTGTCTTCCATTGATGGTCGAAAGGACTAAATTGACTAAAAATAATTATTTTCGGGGACCAAATTGACTGCCGGAGGAACTAATTAAAAAAAAAATATTTTCGAGGACCAAATCAATGAATAAGTGATTGAGGAACTAAATCGTTCATTAACTCTTAAAGTAATAAATCAATGTCCGAAACTCGACAGCTAACTACTGAATTACTGTAATTTACATCATCTCGTATGTTTTGTTCCGATTAGGGATTCCAACTCTTGAGAGAAGAAAGAAATTTGGTAATATAGCTACAAATAGATACATAGTACAAAATCGTTGAGGTTTGGCTCATGGGTAATGGATGGGACTTATAAATTACTGAGATGTGTCGACACCCTCTTTCTCATTCCCCTGCCAAGGCACCTTACTGTCTCAAAGTTGACACCATTTCTTCATCAAAATGTCGACATCTCTCTTTCTCTCTCATCTCTCTCTCTATATCCATACGTTACCGGTAATCTGTGCGCCGCTACGCACGATAAATCATAAAAGCCCCTCTCCACCCAGAATCTTCAATCTATAATCTGCCTATCGGCTATCACTCTCTCAGGCCGAGTTTCCACTGCATCGAGATTCGCCACCGCAAATATAACAACAGAATAGAGTTTTCTGTTCTCTTCTCTAATCATGTCACTCGTTGAGGTTCGCTTTTCAACGCCCATGTCACCTTTTTGTTTGAATTCCTTCTTTCTTTAAACTTGTGCTCGTTGTGATTGCTCTGTGTTGTGTGTTTTAGGGCCTTCTTCCGTTTTGCATGGATCAAATTAGAGCGAAGACGAAGGTCTTCACAGGTGAATCAACAAACTCCAATTTTGTCTCTGGTTTTTGCCATGAATTGGTGATCAATATTGAACTTTTTTTTTTTTTTTTTGGATAGAGAATTCAGCTTTCGGTTGTCTGAATTAGTAATCTCGTGTTTCCGTTTTATTGTTGATATAACTGAATTTCATCGAAACTTGGAGATGCTGAGGTTCTCCTTGTCACAGTTCTAATTTGCTCGTATTAATGGATTTGAAGTGTTGTTTTAAGTTATTTTCTGCATTTTATTTCGAAAATTGTATAAAGGTCCTCTGAATTTGAAATTTTGTGTTATGTTACTTGCCCATCAACTGTTTGATTATTTGCTGGGGGGTTTCTTCTCTTCACCGACTTATTGAAGTAATTTGATTTTATGTTGTTTCTACGCGTATGGAATTAATTCTGGTGGGGTGGGTTGGGTTGACTTTAGCAGGTTCAGATTTGAATGACCATTGGTCAGGAAAAAAAATGTCATTTTAGCTTCTTGATTACTCCCTCCGTCCCTAATTTGATTGTTTGCACGGTTTTTAATACAACAAAACAAATGTTACTAACTTTCCAATTTTACACCTCAAAAGTAGGTGTTATTTGTACGAAGTACATTGTACTTACCTCATTAATTGTCTAGAAATTTGAAAAGTCAAAAAGGTAAATTGGGAAATGTAGAATGATAGTTATGTTCAATTTTGGAAAGAGGACATTATTTTGGGACAAATGAAAAAGGGAAGTAAGACACATAAAATGGGACGGAGGGAGTACTTTTCTCTCTCGACGCTTTAAAAGCGTGTCCGAGAAAACACTTATAATTTTATATGAGTTCTACTAAATGAACTCCTATTCTCTACTTTTTTACTCTGATGTGGCAAGAGATGATAGGTTCATTCATTATGTGCGTCCAAGGAAATTAAAATTTTTGAGTGAGGGAATAAAATTAGGGAGTTTTGAGTGAAGAAATAAAAGTAGGAAGTAGAACTTGGGAGTCCAAGTAGTATTTTCCATTTTATATATATAGGTGCATTAGTCTAATAATGGAAACCTCATTTTCTGTGCAAATTTCTTAAAGTTCACCCATTCTTAGGTGTGATGTGTAGGCCAGTTTATTTAGTTGTTTCAGCATGTGTTTGTTACTTGTTAGTCTTAACCCTTTAAATAATCAAGAATTCGGACTAACATTTCCTATAATGCTCAAATGTTTATGGCATTAAAGCTTGAGCTTCTGCCCCCTCTTCCCAACCTAGAAAGAAGAGTAAAAGTAATAATGTTTAAAATTTTGACAAGTCTGCACTTCAGACATGTAGGAGTTTTATGAACAATGTGCGTTTTCTAATAAAGCGTCAGAAGATAAACAACTAATTCTCGGTATTTGATGGTTCAAAACAGACTCCTTTTTGCAGAATGTCTCTCAATCTTTGTCTAACCACAGCTGTGGCAATTCTGAAAAAGAGTTAGGGGACTGCCAAGACAGCGGATCTGCTTTCATCCTTAAAATGATTGCTATTGCAGCTATTCTCATTGCTGGTGCATTTGGAGTTTCAGTCCCATTAATTGGCAGGAAGCGACGGTTCCTTCAAACAGATTCTAATCTCTTTGTTGCTGCCAAAGCCTTTGCAGCTGGTGTCATCCTTGCCACCGGCTTTGTTCACATGTTACCTGATGCAACTGAGCAACTGACTAATCCCTGTCTACCTGAATATCCTTGGTTGAAATTCCCATTCTCTGGATTTATTGCAATGATGGCAGCACTAGCTACATTGGTTGTTGATTTTGTTGGGACCCAGTATTATGAAAAGAAGCAAGAGAAACAAAGTCAAACAGCACATATTGAATCTGTGGATTCAGAGTCTGACACTGTAATTGTTCCAGTGGAGACAAAAGGGAGGAATGGGAAGTTGTTTGGGGAAGAAGAAGGAGGCGCAATTCACATTGTTGGGATGCATGCACATGCAGCTCATCATAGACATAGCCACTCTCAAGAAGCAGGTGCATGTGAAGGCCATACAAAGGAGCATTCACATGGTCATTCACATTCCCACTCACACAGTTTTGGTCATGGGGATGAGGAAAATGGTGTGAGGCATGTAGTTGTTTCGCAGGTAATCCCCATTTCCGTATGGGTTTATTCTTTATAGTAGCTTTCTCTATGCTCATTGCTAATACGTTATTATCTTTTTTGTCACTATTTGGTTATATATTTACTTGTTTGCTACTTGGGCCTTTCTCTCTACTGTACTCATGCCTAACTGAAGTTGACTTTAGCAGGAGTGGTTGCATTCTATAGACTTTCTTGCCTTCTCTCTTTTTTTTCCCATTGACTTGTACTCTGTAATATTTTAAACAATAGGTATGCTATTTGATATTGATGGAGTCTTAAATATTTTTTTTATGGCCAGTTTCATGCCTTTGCACTTCCTTCCCCCAAAAGGTTGAATCCAGGAGAGGTTGCATTCTATAGAGTTTCTTGCCTTTTTTTTTTCCCCCATAGACTTGTACTCCATAATATTTTAAACATTAGGTATGCTATTTGATATTGATGGAGTCTTAAATAATTTTTTTATGGTCAGTTGCATGCCTTTGCACTTCCTTCCCCCAAAAGGTTGAATCCTCAACCCCAAGGGCCCCACACCCGGCCCGACAGAGCATTTGGGAGGATGTAAATCACAGTACTTAATGGCTCAGCAAACATGGCCAAAGGCCGGTGCGCACAAGGGATCTGTCCACTTTGGACATAATCTCCACACTGCCACTGCCGAGTTTCCCACACTGCCTTTGCACTTGTCACTTAATTGTAACTATGTTCTCTTTCAATGCAGGTTTTGGAACTTGGTATAGTATCTCACTCGATGATTATTGGTCTATCGCTTGGGGTTTCAGAAAGTCCATGCACAATTAGACCCTTGATTGCAGCACTAGCATTCCATCAGTTCTTTGAAGGGTTTGCTTTAGGAGGATGCATTTCGCAGGCCCAGTTTAGGACTCTACGCTCCACTCTAATGGCCACGTTTTTTGCTGTAACAACCCCCTTAGGGATTGCTGCGGGCCTGTGTGTTTCCTCATTCTATAATCCGAGTAGCCCTAGAGCGATGGTAGTGGAGGGCATCTTCGACTCTATCTCTGCCGGAATCCTAGTCTACATGGCTTTGGTGGACTTAATTGCCGCCGATTTCTTGAGCAAAAAGATGAGCTGCAATACCAGGCTTCAGATAGCTTCATATTTTTGCCTGTTTTTAGGGTCTCTACTGATGTCATCTCTGGCAATATGGGCTTGAATTCACATAATTTGTTGCATGCATATGCTGTTTAGCTTTTGTTGTTTTCTTAGGAAATCCAATAAAAGCATTGTTTGTGTTCTTTTATTTCTTTCTAATATGGGTGAGGAAAGTGATGGTTGATAACCTAGTGGGTGAAGGTGGTGGAGGAGTTGAAAAGCGAATGCCAAATTTGAATTTATAAAAAAGTTAAGAAATGCTATTATTCTTTCTATTTCAATACTGTCACAGTGTCACCTTCATGAAGTTGGTACCAATAAAGGGAAGGAGGTGCTGATTGTTGTGTGGTGGGAGTGTGGGACACAGGCTTTGCACTTTTTCCCCACTTTAAATTTGCACCAGTCGCATGCTTGCAATTTGCTAATTTAAAATGGCTATATTTTTAAGTCTAACAATTTGGATTTCAGAATCTGATCTTCAGCCATAATTTATTAATGCAAACTGTTATGATAATGGTTAAATAACAAAAATTTGTGTGGGACCGTCTGAGTCAGTTAAATGATTTGGGTCGGATCAAAATTCAAGATAGAAATGTAATAATTATACTGAAAAATGTAATATAGAAAAATGTAATATTTTTAAAGAAAAAATGTAGTACACTTATATTTTGATTTAAAAATATTAATTTTTTCTGATAAGTATTACATTTTAATATTGATATGATCCATATATTTCACACAAGGTGTGATCCCTCAATTAGCTCCATATTAGGGCACCTTTTCTAGAGTGGGATGCATTCATCGAGGAGGAGGGAATTGTGCATGGGATTCCAAATCAGAAATTTGGAATCTGGGTTATGCAAAAGGAAAATTCTACTTTCTTTTTGGTGTTATTGTGTTTAATAACGCCTAAGGGTTTGGCGTTGTAGCTTTTTCATTTATAATTCCATTTATTTTGTAGAAGTAGTGGAGTAAATACGGTACGTTAGGTCCAGTGCCAAAGGCTAGAAAGTTCTTCTTGTAAATCCGGTCCTCTTGTCGTTCTTCCATGAACCGCTCAGGGTCGAACTTCTCCGGTACGGGGAACCACTGAAATGACGAGTCTAGAATCGACGGGTACACGATGGTGCCTTTGGGGACAACGTAATTCTCCGCCAATGTGCACATGTGTATTTAGTTACTAAGCCTACAAGCTAGTAATGAACTCGTCACTTATGTGAAATTTATTTAGTTTTTATCTATGGTTGAAATTTATTTAGTTGTTCATGCACACAGTTTAACGCAAATGTGCACACGTATTTATTTACTAAGTCTATAAGCTAATAGTGAACTAGTCACTTATGTAAAATTTATTTAGTTATTATCAATGGTTGAAATTTATTTAGTTGTGCATGCACACAGTTAAACGCCAATGTGCACACATGTATTTATTTACTAAGTCGACAAGCTAATAGTGAAGTAGTCACTCCTGTGAAATTTATTTAGTTGTGCATGCACACAGTTTAACGTCTATGTGCACACGTATATTTATTTACTAAGCCCACAAGCTAATAGTGAAGTAGTCACTTTTGTGAAATTTATATAGATGTGCATGCACACAGTTTGGCGCCAATGTGCGAACATATATTCATTTACTAATCCTATAAGTTAATAGTCAACTAGCCAAATCATTGAGTTATTATCCATGATTTAAATTTATCTAGTTGTGCAGGCTTGTGCACACGGTAATATAATTTTATGCACTCGGTCATACACACATGATAACCACCACATAATAGACATAGAGATTTTAATAAACACGGAGATTTTAAGAGCATAATTTGTTCCTAATAAAGAGACAATCAATTGTGCATAAATAGATCTCTTGGGACCTCGTGTGAGTATGTGGGTGCACCCCCACGTAGCAAAAAATTGAGTACATGACCAACTAAAAATAGCTTCATCAACCAAATACAGTAATAGAGTTAGTTGTATAGCAAAGCAAAAAAAAAAAGAAATCACAACGTACCAAAAATTCCGAACTAAAATTCAATAAACCAAGCACACGAAACACCACTACGGAACCTCCGGGATCGATGACACAAACTGATTCGCCCGAGCGATATTCCTACACTTAAGTAGATTGAATTCTAACGTTGCAATTTATGTTGGATTTGGAACACCAATCCCAGGATGACAGGTGCATTTTTCATCATCATGTGCCCCTAAATCCAATGGAAGAACTAGAGGAGGGAGAAGTGCGACCTCCGTGCAAAATCTGTGCTTCTTCTTCATAGCCAGTTGCAAAAGAGAGCACATCAATCATCCATGAAAATCCTACCATACCATCATTTACAGGATTACAACTTGATCCTGGATTTGGAGCACCAATCCTAGGATGACAGGTGCATTTTTCAGCATCATGTGCCTCTAAATCCAATAGAAGAACTAGAGGAGGGAGAAGTGCGACCTCCGTGCAAAATCTGTGCTTCTTCTTCATAGCCAGTTGCAAAAGAGAGCACATCAATCATCCATATTGGAAATCCTACCATACCATCATTTATAGGATTAAAACTTGATCCTGGATTGGGAGCACCAATCCCAGGATGACAGGTGCATTTTTCATCATCATGTGCCCCTAAATCCAATAGAAGAACTATAGGAGGGAGAAGTGCAACCTCCGTGCAAAATTTGTGTTTCTTTTTCATAGCCAGTTGCAAAAGAGAGCACATCAATCATCCATGAAAATCCTACGATACCATCATTTACAGGATTACAACTTGATCTTGCATTAATTGCTGCCATAGCTACACTTGCCCGGCTTGTCCAAAATAATTTGATAGATCCTGATCTCTTGACCATCTTTCTAAGCAATCCACAATTGGTTGGCGATTAGTCCACTATTAGCTTATAGACTTAGTAAATAAACGTATGTGTATACATTTGCGTTAAACTGTGTGCATGAACAACTAAATAAATTTCCTTAACCATCAAACAAGTATAATTAATGTGGTCATGCATGTGGAAATACGTTCTTGTTCAAGCAAAATAATTACACTTTCTTCCTGAGTAATGGAATTCTGATAAAAGCCCAAAATGAGGTCAAAGTCAATATAATGAAACTATATATACCATCAAGTAAGGTATCTCATAGTCTCTTATAAGTTAATCGTTTGATCTAATATAATAAAAATATTAGTGTTTCTGATATGAAATCTCATCTAATGAAAAACTCGAGTATGAAGAATTAAATATATTTCAACCATCTCTCCTAACTATATAAAAAAAAGTATAAAGAATTATGAGTTAATTTCATTTTTGGTCTTAGATTAACGACTAATGATGTCCACCGAAGAGCGCACACACCAATGACATTATATCAAGTATAAATGACCAAAATCAACAACAAATATAGATAGTGAAGCAACCAAAATCACTATCGAAAATGAAATAAACAATGTACTTTGAAAAAAAATAATAAGAAAAAAAAATGACCAGCAGCAATCCCCAGCATCACCCCCCTGTGACTACCAACAGCAGCTCCCTACCCTTACACACAAGTCACCTAAGGTGGAAAAACACATGCATAACCAAATACAGTAACAGTGTGAGTATGTGTGTGCACCTCCACGTAGCAAAAAATTGAGTACATGACTAATTAAAAATGGCTTCATCAACCAAATACAGTAATAGTGTTAGTTGTATAACAAAGCAAAAAAGAAAGTCACAACGTAGCAAAAATTCCGAACTAAAATTCAATAAACCAAGCACACGAAACACCATTACGGAACCTCCGGGATAGATGACACAAACTGATTCGCCTGAGCGATATTCCTACACTTAAGTAGATTGAATTCTGACGTTGCAATTTGTGTTGGATTTGGAGCACCAATCTCAGGATGACAAGTGCATTTTTCATCATCATGTGCCCCTAAATCCAATAGAAGAACTAGAGGAGGGAGAAGTGCGACCTCCATGCAAAATCTGTGCTTCTTCTTCATAGCCAGTTGCAAAAGAAAGCACATCAATCATTCATGGAAATCCTACCATACCATCATTTACATGATTACAACTTGATCCTGGATTTGGAGCACCAATCCTAGGATGACATGTGCATTTTTCATCATCATGTGCCTCTAAATCCAATAGAAGAACTAGAGGAGGGAGAAGTGCGACCTCCGTGCAAATGACAGGTGCATTTTTCATCATCATGTGCCCTAAATCCAATAGAAGAACTAGAGGAGGGAAAAGTGCAACCTCCGTGCAAAATCTGTGTTTCTTTTTCAAAGCCAGTTGCAAAAGAGAGCACATCAATCATCCATGGAAATCCTACGATACCATCATTTACAGGATTACAACTTGATCCTGCATTAATTGCTGCCAAAGCTACACTTGCCCGGCTTGTCCAAAATAATTTGATAGATCCTGATCTCTTGACCATCTTACTAAGCAATCCACAATTGGTTGGCGATTAATCCACTACTAGCTTATAGACTTAGTAAATAAACACATATGTGTACATTTGTGTTAAACTGTGTGCATGAACAACTAAATAAATTTCCTTAACCATCAAACATGTATATTTAATGTGGTCATGCATGTGAAAATAGGTTCTTGTTCAAGCAAAATAATTACACTTTCTTCCTGAGTAATGGAATTCTAATATAAGTCCAAAATGAGGTCAAAGTCAATATAATGAAACTATATATACCATCAAGTAAGGTATCTCATAGTTTCTTATAAGTTAATTATTTGATCTAATATAATAAAAATATTAGTGTTTCTTATATGACATCTCACCTAATGAAAAACTCGAGTATGAAGAATTAAATATATTTCAACCATCTCTCCTAACTATAAAAAAAAAAATATATATATATATATATATATATATATATATATATATATATATATATATATATATATATATATATATATATATATATATATATATATATATATATAAAGAATTATGAGTTAATTTCATTTTTGGTCTTAGATTAACGACTAATGATGTCCACCGAAGAGCGCACACACCAATGACATTATATCAAGCATAAATGACCAAAATCAACAACAAATGTAGATAGTGAAACAACCAAAATCACTACCGAAAATGAAATAAACAATGGACTTTGAAAAAAATTAATAAGAAAAAAAATGGCCAGCAGCAATCCCCAGCATCACCCCCCTGTGACTACCAACAGCAGCTCCCTACCCTCACACACAAGTCGCCTGAGATGGAAAAACACATGCATACCGCCCACAACCCCCCCCCCCCCCCCCCCAACAAATGATAAACAATTTTTTTTTTTAAATAGAGGATAAAACCAGCCAAAAAAAAAAAAAACCGAAAACGACAAAAGGGGGCAAAAAATATCTCGACCTACACCCCGAGTTGGTGGTCCCCGTCCCTTGGCTCCAATGCGGCCCCCCACCGACGATCATCGTCCGCTGATGAAGAATGCGAATCGAACGGTATGGGAGAGTCTTCGGCAACCGTACTGTAAAAAGAGAGAGAGAGATCAGAAAAGACAAAATATCTAATGCTCATTGAATTCCTAGAATTTGATCCGATTAAAACAATAGTAAAAAACCAAAATTACCCCCCTTAACCTGGTGCACGGTTAAATAAAATCTACATAAATAATTAAATGAATCCTAGCCATCCAATTTCAGAATCTAACGATCCTAATCAATCCACACCTTTGTATTTTAAAGACTGTTTGTATTTGAATATAGGAATAAGGGCCAAATTGGCCACTGAACGTAACGCAATAGTGCAATCAGACCACTGAACTTAAAAAAAGTGCAATTACCCCACTCAACGGTTCAAATGCCTCCAATTTCACATGTTAGCCGGTTTTAAACCTATCTTTCCGGTTACTGGTTGACTAGGCTGATGACATGGCATTAAAATTGTTTTCATTTATTTTTCTTATTTTTTGTTGCATCGTCCAACATGTAAGAACAGCAATCTTCATCAACTCCGACGACTTCTCTCAGTTCCCTTCGTCTTCTATTGCTTGAAGATACATGCCTAACACAATGAATTCCTCATCCCCACGCTACTCACCGTCGCCGCCGGGGGTGACAAAGCCATAGAACACTTTCCCGTTGGGGCCGCGGAAGCTGTCGGTGAAGTGAAAGAAGAAGCATGAGAGGGCGCAGAGGGCGAGGAGGACCAAAATCATGGCGGCACTCACGCCGGAGCAATCGCCCTTTCCTTACACGCTCGGGAGGACCATTTCGAAGGTGAGGAGAGTTCCGGTGGGAGGAAGTTGGCAAGAAGAGACGTTTTTGAGAGCGTTTTTTTAAACTCCGTTCGCCATCGCCCGTTTTCTCCGGCCGCCTCCCGGCGGCGGTGGAAGGTCGGAGACGAAGCCCGCTGCCGCCACTGTTATGGGTACTTGGTGAGGTTTGGCCGTGGGGATACATCGTAGATTTTCACCCCGAATCCTTTTGTCGTTGGATCCATTTTTGCAGGATATAATTGAAGGAGATGAAGAAGATATCAATGGAGAAAGATGCAGAGAAAATGGAGAGAAAAATGCAGACAAAATGCTGGATGTACTCCGACCACCGCATGCATTTAGGCCAATATCCATCGCCTCACCTTGTTAACCATTTCTGCTCCTCTCTTTCTTGCTTTCACTCTCCATTTTTCATTGTTCATTATTAGATCAGAGCTATGGTCCAGTCCCAAAAGAAGTGCTTTACCAGAGCTATCAAGTCCAGAAAAACAGCAGAACAACAGCAAAAGAAGTGCTTTTCGATTTCAAAATATTGATTTTGCGTTCCCTGAGATATGAATGCACTTCTGCCGTCCACGTTCTGGCGCATGGATTTCCTCATACTGACTGACGATGCCAGGTTGAGCGAGCTTGAGGATGAAGAACTCATCGTTGGCATGACTCCGGCGGCGAAGGTGAGTAGCGTGGGGATGAGGAATTCATCGTGTTGGCATGTATCTTCCAGCAGTAGAAGACAAAGAGAACTGAGAGAAGTAGTCGGAGTTGATGAACATTGCTGTTCTTACACGCTGGATGCAACAAAAAATAAAAAAAAATAAATGAAAACAATTATTAATGCCATGTCATCAGCCCAGTCAGCAATTAACCGGAAGGATGGGTTGAAAACCGGCTAACAGGTGAAATTGGAGGCATTTAAATCGTTGAGTGGGGTAATTGCACTTTTTTTAAGTTCAGTGGTCTGATTGCACTATTGCGTTACGTTCAGTGGCCAATTTGACCCTTATTCCTTGAATATATATATATATATATATAGAGAGAGAGAGAGAGAGAGAGTTGGGTTCAAATGAGGACCACTATATTATAGAGGACCGTGAGGACTGATGTAGTTGTGTGTCATTAGCCTGTATGTCGTGTGCATAGGTTTGTTAATTAATAGAGCCTGTGTTCGAAACATGATGTTTACATATATTCTTGTGTGCCTGATATTAATTTATCGTGTGCCCGTAATCAGTCCGCACAGTCCTCTATATATTGTAGTCCTCATGTGAACTCAACCCTATAACTTATAGTGTGATTGAAACTTTTTAAAATTCAAATATCTAATTACTCTTTTGCCAATAGTTGAGGGATTTATTTTATCATTGTCCCTTTCACAAATTTGTGACACTGTCAACACTTTCTGTTTCCCTAATATAAGATTTAGAAGCTCTAAATTTAGAATTTCATTTTAATTCTAGCTAATGTCTATCGATATCTTTAATATAGATCACTGACATGGCATTTTAAACTAGTGTTTCATCTTCCTTGAAAGGGCAACGAAAACTCTAGTCTGCTGCCGCCGTGGACCACTATAGTATACTAATCAGAATTTAGACATAGCCAAAGATCAACAGAAACCAGGAAACAATAAATTATGCAAATGTCACCAGAGAGAGTTGATAAGAATACAAGGCGGCGATCTTAACTATAAATTAATGAATTTATAATCCCCCACGCCCCACACATTACTTCTCCTCTTTCTCCATTACCATAGGCAAATTATATTGTGGACCATACAGTATCATTTTGATATAACTACAATTTCGTTAGACAATATACACTTAAATATGTGAAATTGTTATTCAATTTCATTTTGTATACACTGCAGTTTCATTTCGATACACCTACAGTTTAATTTCAATTCAATTGCAGTTTCATTTGATAATATAATAAAACAGTGTTAGCTTAAATACACTATAGTGTCTGCTATTTTGGACCATGGGCCACAGTATAATTGCTGATAACCATAACCCCCACCCATTCTCACCTTAATTTATACATCAACTTTCAACACCTCAATAGTCAATACAACTCTTCTTCTTAACTTCTTCAGTAATTATTAACAAAAAAAAAAAAAAATAGTAGTAATACTATTTACACGAACAAATTTATATGCCCTGCACTGCCCCTGCCTGATGATTGATGAAGCAAGCGTACGTGTGCATAAATAGCATTATCTTTAACAACATATGAAATGAAAGGAATGAATCAAAGAAGTGATGAAAGCAGAAACACACAGGATTAAAAAAAGAGAACAAAAAAATATTCTTGATTTTGAATTATTCTTGTATTGGTACAATCTGTAGAGGCCAATTGTTTACAATTGCTTCCTTAATGACCTCCACAGATTCAACCCACCTCCTTTGAAGGGGCTTGCTTGCTTGCTTGCATAATGGCAGGCTGGACCCACACCTTCACTAACCCTAAATCCTACTGAAAATCAAAATGACCTTTTTTTTTGTTTTTTGATTTTTTGTTTTTTGTTTTTTTTTTTTTTGTTTTTTCGACTTTGGACCGCACTTGGTGCAGCCTCAGATATGAAGGATACAATGCGGCTTGGTTGTGTATGAATTGGCGGTGTTGAGTCCCCACTTCGAATGAACCCTAACACCTTTCAATCCACCACCATCTTGTTGAATGTTGAATGTTTCTTTGCTGGCTGGCTGGCTCCTAGTTTATGTGTTTGTAAAAACATAACCTCTTTATTATTGGCGCTGATATGTACGAGTTTCTGCTTCCTTGATGTTTAGATGCTGAAGACAAGTCTTGAGCCAGTTTATGATCTGTGCAAACGAAGGTCGTGCCTGTGGATCTCTGCACAACAAAAATGACACGACACTCCTTTAAGTCACAACTAAAAAAACACCAAGGATACATGATCAAAGAACGAAATTCAAAAATATAAACGCACTGTTTCCAGCAGTCACTTATAATCTCTGCAACCGTGGGATCAACCTCAGAGGGAATGCTGAGTCGTCTACCCTGAAAACCTACAGCTCCAACAACCTGCATTGAGTTCATCCCTGACCAAGGTACTTGCAGAGTGGCTAACTCCCATAAAATTACACCAAAACTGTACACATCAGACCTGAAAAGAAAGCACCCAAACCAAATTCCTCAGCAAAATTTGATTTCATTCTGTTTTTACAAACAACTTGTGTTTCAAGGAAAAAATCTCACTTTTCGTTCGATGGTTCATTCCTCAGAACTTCTGGTGCCATCCATTCAGCCTGCATATTGGAAACAAGTTTTTAGAGAGGTTATAACTCTTGGTGAAGAGAGTAAAATGACAGGTTAGACAAGTTATCAGTTTGAAGATGCATTACTGTCCCAGCTGTAGATTTTGAGGAGAGAAATGTATGGTGCTTCATTCGAGACATCCCAAAATCACAAACCTGCATGCAAATCACGCACAACCTTGGAGTTTCTTTGGAAGGAAAAAAAAGTAGAAACCTATTCTTGTAATTTTATAGCACATTTTTACACACTTTCACATCAATCATACCTTCACAACCCAATTTTTGTCAACAAGTAGATTTGGAGTCTTCAAATCTCGATGCACAATCATAGGATTGCTTGTATGCAAATAGTTCATTCCCTTTGCCTGGAAGAAATTGGCAACATTAATGAACAAACCAAAATCTGACTTCAACATATCAAACAAAAACATCATTCAGTTGGTACCACATCAAAAGCCATCCGCATTCGTCTTCTTTCATCAAGTTGAATTGTTGAACGATGCAATAGCTTATATAAACTCCCTCTGCACACAAATCAATGGAATCAATCACTTGAGAAATAAGAAAGAGGAATAAGAGTATAATTAAATTACTAATAATGGACACCTCTCCTTTTGGCAGCAAGGAGATGCTTATAGGAATAGAGACTATTGAATGTCATAGTTTAAATACATTTTTTGTCCTATTGAAATCAATTAAATGCAAACTCCAGTGTGTGTGCTCCATCCCTCTAGAATATTACTGAAGTGCGTATAGGGCATTAGTAGTGCTTGAAGATATCTCTGACAACAGGAACTCAGATAATGATGCTACAAAAGCTAATAAAAATATATAATGCTGCAAGATTGTAAAAGCAATTGATAACCAATAGATGCAACCCAGAATTTCAAAACGGCCAAGAGATCACAACCTTGGTAGAAACTCAGTTAGTATAGATAGATTTGGGGGGCGAGTGACAGCTCCCATGAAGAGGACAACATTTGGATGTCTCAACCTTAACATAATTTCAACCTGCATGAGGTGAGAAACAGGTAAAGCTGCAAATCTCATGAAGAAACTTAACTCGTTGTGAATTATAAATTATACTGTAATTATTATAATTATAATTATAATGAACAATATAACATTTATTTTGATGAGTACAATAGACAGTATAGCATATCTACAGTACTCACTTCACATTTGAACTGTTCTAGTGCATCGCCTGTGATGTCCTGATTCATGAATTTCTTCACAGCAACCTCCTGTCATATTTCATTGCATTAAGTTTGCATTACTAATCCATTAGAATTACAACTCCAAACCACTGCAACAACATAATCAATGCTAAGATAGAGCTCAGGATGGGCAGAAAACATCCTGTAATTGGATAACAGGAGAGATTTTAACAGATTCTCGCTTCTCTTATGCTCAGCTGATACTGATCTAGCCATGTGACAAAATTAACTAACTACTACCACAGACTGGTTAGCAAGAACATCTGACATGATTTCAAAGTCAGATAAGCAGGGCTTCGCCTCTTTGGTAAGTAGAATTTATTCAAATGCTAATACAACCTTACAGAAGGTGAATCAAGAATAAAACTCCACGAGCTCTTGAAACTAAAGTTTAACCATGAACAAGGAATGCAATCCCCTAAAACCTTCTAAATTTTCTGACTTCACATGCATTCCAAGCAAAATAAAGTTTCTTCACATAGGCATACCTTGTTAGAATGAAGATTATTATTATTATTATTATTATTATTATTATTATTATTATTATTATTTTCATTCTAAAGACAAATATCATAAGAATAGAAATCACAATCAGCAAAAATTTTAAGCACAAGTCAAGATACACCAATGACATGTATGAGGTTGCGGTTTGTGTTAAAATTAAAACACAAGATTCTGCAACAAAAAGGATAAAAACAGAACCACTTTCTGATTGGCTATTCATGCCCTATGAGGAAGGATATGGTAAACCATGTGCTCCTTATTCCTCATTCTTTTTAATAGGACAGATAAATCAGGCTAATGAATTCCCATTTCAGGAAAAGACTTACCGTGCCATTCAATTCAGCATGGTAAACCTCACCATATGACCCTGCAATTTAAGAATTCATAAGACAAGCGTAATCAATGGATGAATGTACAGCTCAAATTACAGAAACTTTCACTCTTGAGCAACATATGCTAACTTAGTAAAAGTTGACTTCATTAGTGAATTGACAAGTTGGCAATACCAGTAAGTATCTGACCTACTATATCTTCTAATCTTGTTTTCTCAAAAAATGAATTTTACAATCTTACAAATTAGTCAGGGACAAATATATATTGCAATTTAGACTGCACTCACATGTTTTATTGACCTATCAAGAAAAGGGCTGGCATTCATCATAATAAATTATGTAATTTCTACTAAAATATTAAAAATTGTATAGTTGATAAATATTAAAAATCATAATAAAGTTTCTAACAGCCTTTGATCTTCTCTCCTCACACAGGCTACAACAGTGCAAATCTTATCCAATGAAAATTTCAGAATTGTGTTTTACAGCCAATTCCAAAGACGAGAATGAGAAGCGGCTTAAAACTTGCACTAATTGTCATATATGGTCAGTCAAGTTTACGCTTAAAACTTGCACTACTTTTCAATATATCATGAATCAAGCCAAAGTTTGCAGTCGTACCAATACCAATGCGTTCACCAATCTGAAGATTCTCCCAAGGAATTTCCCAATCTGCCACCCCAAGTAGCAGGGGATCAACTTGTTCTTTGAGCACAGTGTAAGACTTGGATGGGAAGTAACTTGCCACTTCTGTCACCTTCAGACAGGACTCTTTCTCATTACAATTATTACCAATAACATTTCCAGCCTTCTCCCTGTAGTACTTGTCCCCTTCAAGAAAGTAATAACTTTATATTGTATATAAAAAGACAAATATGAAATATATCAACAACATACAGGATTTTCCATTCATTTATTCTGAGAAATACAAACACCTCACCTGAAGCATCAGTAGATGCATTATTTTCAAGCTGTTTTGGAAACTGTACTCCAGCAAAAGGTACAATAGAATGCTCATTTCTTTTTTGATATACTCCAGTATCAACAACCAATTTTTCTGATAAATGATCTTCTCCAACTCCTTTCTCTTCTACTAAAACCACATTTGAGGGCATATAAATGTTACTCTTAGGAAAAACGTTTTGAAGACCAACATTGCTGACATAATCAGAAACATTGTTAACTTGAAAAGCCTGCTGAACTGATGAATTGTCAGTATAAAGTGCTGAACTTTCAGATGAGCTGCTAAGTAATGGAAGAAGATTTCCAGGACCATATGTAACCTTCTTGCATGGAGTGCTATCTAAAGCACCTAGTGGTTCCCCTTTTGATTCAATGCTCATAATGGAATTTCTTGAACTTGCAGGCCTAGCATTGGCAGTTACATCAGCAGGACGTGAATCCAGTTCAACATCCATTCCTCCATAAGTTACTGGAAGTGAATTGATAGCACTGCTACCAGGAATAGGTACAACACTCTTTATATCTAATGCATGACTCTGAAATTGAGAATTGGGTGCTTCAACAGGAATTAGGGTACCCGGTGCACCCATTAGATCAATTATATACTCACTGCAACATCAACCAAATTTCAGGTAAGTTGCATCAAGATAATATTCTACTTAAGTTCAAAAGGATAAATGAACACTTCATAGAAAAAGGTAAATAAATAGTACAGATACTTTTCCTTTAAAAGATAAATCCATGAAAGAGAATGCTGGGTGTCCATTTTTAAAAATCAAAAGGTACAGTTCCATGAAAGAGAATGCAGGTGTCCACTTTTTTGAATAGTTTTTGTATGAACTGCATGGAAACATACATCTAAAAGATTGGTGTGCCCATATCTTACACAACATCCATGCAAGGTTGACCATTTCCTAGACTCTTCAGAGACCAAACAAGTAAAAGTCTTGCAATGACTGCAGGTAGGGCTAAAAATTCTAGGAGTTCAAAATTAGGAGTAAAAAAAAGAATCTCAAAATAATCCAAATTTCATGAAGGCATGATTATTGGTTATAGTTGGGGGGAAGGGGTTGCCAGAAGGATAGAGAAGGAAAAAGATTAAGAGTTAGATAGCTCTATTTTTTTTGTAGAGTACTAGAGTTAACATTTTAAGATGTGCATAAGTCTTGCCTATGCTTGTGCCATTCTTGCTGCAAATATGTAACACATGCATGCACATAACTCAATCCCATACAAACAATCAATTTGTGACCGAGAAAATTTAATTAAACTTGAAACTACATTTTACAATATCAACATAAATTCCAGCTTCCCATTGAAAAATGAAAATGTGGTAAGAATAGAATCATAATTCATAGATCAAAAACATTAATCGCAAATAGAGCTAACTGCAATTCAATTAACAGACAATTTTATTAAACTACAATAGTGAAGATTTCAATTTACAAAAAATAAGACAACCACAATAGTGCGCAATGATCAGAATGTTTGAAGAAATTCTATATGCAAAAATGAAAATGCAAACACTACCAAGAAAGTCAATATATTAATAAAAGGATAAAAAGTTTACCTTCCATTCTCAAGTTTTATCAAATTAACAGCTCCTTCATCAGTCCCAGTATAGTAACTCCCTTTGACTAGTTTACACGGAAGGTTGACTCTATCAGCAAGTACCTAGAAGCAAATTATCTGAATGTCAGGAAATGCTTGAAGAATGCTTTTCAGGAGCTAATATATTTTTCCAAGGACTTCTTTTCCTCTAGTAACACAAATCATCTCCTCAACAGTAATAATAATTTTCTATTAAAAATTCACTTTATCCTTGAAAAAAAAAAAAAAAAAAAAAAAAGTTTTACTCAGAGATATCTAAGCAGTAGAAAAGGTCATTGTTTCATGCCTAAAAGTCAGACTTCCCATGAAATGAGAATCGAGTGACTAAACTCCAATGCTGTAATATATTGTTATATTCTATAACATTCCAGATAACAGAACTTAAATACTGGCAGGCCCTACTAGAAGAGCATAAAGTTTTATAAGCAGTGTGACAGATATAGTAACAAAATAGGATGCTCAGAGCAATAAATGGTAACCAAAAGTAACTAGAGAGAAATCTAGGTATGGAAGCCCTTACAACCTTAAAAAGTAAGGCTCTATGCCGAGAAAGTCCAACATTAAGACAGCCAAGGGGGAGTACAATAGAGTTGAAAGAAATCCTCAATTCAAAACTCCTGGCAATCCACCTCCTAGACATTTCCTCAGCATCATTAACAGAGCCTCCCATTCTATCAACAACCAGAGCAGCAATTTTCTGAATCATGATATTTGAAAGGGGTAGCTTCATTAAAGCCCGACACTCCCTTGACATAAAGGACACTCTCTCCTCCAGCTGTCTCAGTTCCACATCAGTAGCCCGGTTCACTAAGATGACTTCATGGTCAATATCATCTGAAACAGAAATTGCTTCAAGATCCACTAAGCGTGGCATTTTTCCTTGAACCACTGCATTTGAATTAATTCCATGAACATCGTAGAACCCATCCATCACTTTCTCATCATAATTTACAACATTGTAGTTCTGCATTTTTATAAAGCAAAGCTCTTCAGTAAATTGGGAAAAATAGACAAATAAACATATATAAAGACCAAGTAAATACGTAAACAAAATGAGCTGGTTTGCAGATGGTTAGTGGATAAATACTTTGCTATTTGAAGATAATAGTTATATCAATGTTGTAAAGATCAGGGACAAAGCATTCAAAATGACATTAGAACACACTTTATGTGAAATGATGCCAAAATTTATTTGTGATTATAGTGATTCCAAACAGAACAAGTGTACATCAAAATATTGATGGATTAAGCATGGGTTTGGTGATCTCATCACATTTCTTGCCTTTGGAGAAATGTAAGCCTGCTCTCAAGAGTTTGGAGAGGAGTAATTTATTTCAGGCCCTGACTTGATGCTCTCTCTCTCTCTCTCTCTCTCTCTTATATTGAGAGAGACCAACAACTCTTTGATCTTGTCTAATCAAATCAAATCAAATCAATACTATTGATTTTACATTAGTGAAATTGGCCATACCCAATGCAGAGAAGAAGCTAAGCTACTTATCTTTTGTTAAGATAGTAAGATACATAAGATTGAATCATTCCTTTGGGTTCTACATAAGTGAAAATGTGAAATTGGTAGCACCAAATACATAAAAGAAGTTAGGCTACTCATAATAGTGTTACTTTTGTCAAGATTCAAAAGAAGAGAATAATATTATAATAAATAATTAAATCAATCTTAATTTCATGAAAAGAAGAATGAAAAGCAGAAGGGAAGTCTTACAAATTATAAACAAGTAAATAAAGAGAAAATTTCAGTTTTGGTCATATGACTATAAGGGCTTTGTTAATTTCAACACCTGACTTTCAAAAATGTTAATTTAGTACCTTGACTATGCAATTTTTATCAATTTTGGTCACTCCGGTCAAATTGCCGGCCAAATTTCGCCGGAAAATTTTAACAGTTAAAATAATAAGGGTATTTTATTATTTTAAGTCATTCAGAGTCGGTGCCCTTATTATTTTATCCGTTAAAATTTTCCGGCGAAATTTGACCGGTAATTTGACCGGAGTGACCAAAATTGATAAAAATTGCATAGTCAAGGTACTAAATTGACACTTTTGAAAGTCAGGTGCTGAAATTAACAAAGCCCCTATAGTCATATGATCAATTTACTAGGGGCAAGGAGTGAGAGCAGCTGTAGCAACTAGCAAGGAGATTTAAGCTATAAATGAGATCATCATACAGTATTACAGGTTGATGGATTAAAAGAATTATGCTCCTACTGTCACTCTGACTGAGCATAAAGTAATAAATTTGAACATACAGAGTATGTATGTGCATGTATGCGTGCATATGTACATATACAAGTTGTTGTGAGATATGAAGTTAAAGTAGTTATTGAATTTTGGAAAAAGGAAGAAGTTTTTATAATAAAGTACCACACTGTGACTAAGTAAGAAAGTTTGTTAATTTCAATTCGTGTAAGTTGTAATATTTAGAACTTGGTGGGATCAACTTTCTGGAAAAACTAAAATAGAAAGTGGATCATTCAAAATGAAATGGAGGTGTTAGTTTTTACTTTTGTTATTGAATTTTGAAAAAGGAACTAAGGAAGTACTTTTTGCGACCAAGTAGGAAATTATGTTAATTTCAACTGATGAAAGTTGTAATATTTAGAACATGGAGGGGTCATGTTTTTGGAAAAACAAAAATAGAAAGTAGTTAAGTAGATCATTCAAAATGAAATGGAGGTGTTAGTTTATACTTTTGAGAGTTTCCACAAACTTAAACAGATGAGAATTACTTACTACATAGTAGAGGAAAGCAAAGTGAGAGCATTAATAAAAAAATGGTACTAAAAGAAGAAATTATTCAATTATTGAAAGTAAAACTACACCAATTCTATAGACATAAAAACACATCTTGGATAACTTCTATCAGAACAGAGATCAAACCATGGCAACATACAAAAATTGAAAAGAACCAAGAGAAGGGGAGGCAAACTTCAAACTGAATGAATAAGCATGTCAAGAATAATGCCTATATGCAACATAATCCAAAAACAATGACAATAAAGTGCATGGGTAAGCAATTTTTCTTTCAGTACTGTACCTTTTCTCCCTTTTATTAAGATCTTATACTTTCCATTTTGAATTCATCAAGAACCAAACTTGGGCATTAGTATTACCCAGTGTCCCAATTCCATGTACAAAGATTCAATAAGGCTTCTAATGATTCAACAGGTGAAGAGCAGACTACAGGGAACTAAGTAAACAGATAACCAGTATATGCAGTGGAAAAGGCATTTACACTATACTATGCACTCAGACTTGTTAATTCACATTTTCCAATGGCTGAGAGGTGGGGGGGATCTATGGGATATATACAGAGAAATGTTAATAGCCCTTGGCTATCAGGACACGTGAACCAAAGGTAGACCTGGGAAATGGGAATTGTATTTAGGGATTACTGATCAGACAAAATGAATAAATAATACAGAATTCGAAAAACCAAACTCCTACCAAAACTTCAAGCATTAAATTTATTAATTCAGTTAGCAATTTGAAATAACTGAAGAAGCAGTGTAGTCACTCTACACTGCCAGTCTCCTATGAGCCAATAATCAGACAATTGTTCAAACTCTTTACACTAAATGCAAAAATTCAGACAGATTCCTCAACAAAATAGTTAAGTTATGAAGCGAAAATGGAAAGAAAATTGTGATAGATACCCAGTAACGAAGCGACAGAAATTCGACGAGGGTCTCGGAAGGTGAACATCCCAAGCTAATCTGCTGTGCAGCCTTGATCTGAGCTGTTTCCGGATCTTCACGGGAATCCGGGTCGGAAACGCTGATCGCCAAAGCCAATTGGACCTGAAACTCCTCCTCAAAGTAATTGAAATCCGGGGCCGAATCCGACGCCGAATTCGATTCCCCAACCCTGGGCAATGCGGCGGACGAGGACGGCGTCGTTTCGGAGGAGGACGAAGCCGGAGTCAACGCGGAGTCCGATTCCCGAAACGGCGGCGGATCAATCGGTGGTGGGCGGTGGTGCGGGTGATGATGGGGATCGGTTACGCCACCGCCGATGTGAAGTTTCCGGAGTAAATGCTTCATCTTTGACATGGGGTCTCATCGACGAGGGAGAAGAAATCCAGATTGGATTTTTCTTGCTCTCAACTGCTAGTCAGCGCTATGGGGGTTTGGGTGGGTGAGGGCGAGGGTGAGAGAGAGGGCGAGAGAGAGGGGGCGGATAAGCCGCGAAGGTGAGTTTCGAGTCTTGTTCGTGAAGGTACCACCAGTAATGGTGGAATTAAATTAACTGCACATATTCTTCCCTCCAATTAGATTTACAAGTGTAAAACCCCATCTATTCTATTCTACTTCATATTATACTGTGTCTACGTGTATCGTCATCATCAATTCTCAACTTCCCACCCAAACTACTGTAGAGCCTCAAGCTACTTTGCTACTCATTTTCGAAGTTAATTACATCCAAATATTAGAGGTGTAGAGACTAGTAAAATCTTTTAGAACCTTTTAGACCCTATAAGAGGATTGTATAGAATTTTACGGAGGAGTCTAGGGATAAAATTATAGTCGTACGATTAAGCGGATCTTCAGTGGAATAGGTATAAATAGTTGAATACTCCTTATGGGTTCATTTTGTAACAATCATAATCCAAGTTTCGAATAAAGTTTGTTTTTGTGAGATCTTGTCTTACTTGCTTATTCAAGACATCCCATCGTTTTATTAGCATCATTTACAATGCCCCGAGCGAGGCTGGCTTAGCTATTGCAAGGAAAAGAGTAACTAAGACCGCATGAGACATCAGCGAGAACGAGTCCATGATAGTTGGTATCAGAGCCACGTTCGAATATAGGGTTGCTAATTCGTTGCAATAGCTAGCATGAAGGATGTTTGTGCTTCCGATACAACCGAGGAACGAGGGAGGTAACTTGTTCCAACCCAGCAAGGTAAGAAAATGCGTGACTAAAAGGGTTGCTGCTAGTTGGGAGGGCACTATTGCCACCCCAAGCCTGAGAGTAGAGGTACCGAGACCGGGTTAGTCAAAAACTTCGTGTGACAAATGGAACAATACTTTGTAAACCTTTGCTTCACCGAAGAAGCAAAGAAGACCAAGGCCACTACCCCATACCTCATAGATACGTCCATACTTTGGTGTAGACAAAAGCATGTCGATATCGAACGGGGGACCTGCCACATAGACACATGGGATGATTTCAAGAAGGAGCTAAAGTGATATTTACATCGGACGAAAACATAATTTATGAAGCCCATATGCAACTTAGGGAGCTGAAGCAACGAGGATCCATCCGAGACTATGTGCAAGAGTTCATGACTCTTATGCTTCAAATCCCCAATCTATTCGAGAAAGATCTATTATTCTATTCCATTTACAAGTTGCAGTAGTGGGTTAAATAAGAGGTACAATGATGAAATATGTTCAGTCAGTAGACGAAGCGATTGTTGTCATTGATTGACATTCGTTCTCAAAGCCACTTCGATCCATCAATAAGAAAGGACAAGAATTCTACTAAAGGTGGGGGAGAGCGGCAGGATAGCCAAGAGAAGGGCAACGGAAAGAGGCCACCAACTAAGAATGAAGATGGGTCGGGGGAGCTACCCGAAAAGAGCATGAGGAAAAGAAGAATGCTTTCGTGTCCAAGCTCATGTGCTACGTGTGTAAAGGGCCATATTGAATGAAGGATTGTCCGAAGCTTGGATCCCTTTCATCCATAGTTGAACAACATGAGGCCAAGGATCACGAAGAAGAGGAGACGGGTAAGATGGGGTCGCTCCAAATCATCATTGCCCTTAATGCCAAAGCAATGCCGACGACGTCGAGCAAAGGGCTGATATGCATACGTTGAAGCAATTGTGAATGGCAAGCTGACCAAAGCATTGGTAGATACAGATGTCACCCATAATTTTGTGACCAAGGAAAAGGTTAGACAAATGGTCGGCATTGCTTTAGCATAAAGCATTGACGGCTCATCCTTCGGTGTTGATATTGATGCTGCCAGAAAGGGGGAAGATAAGAGAGTCAACATACTTGGAGTCCCAAGTTCTAGTTCAAGAGGTAGAGGTCACAACGCAAGAAGGACAAAGGCTACCATCAACACAAGTGGTAAGGTAGTAACTTATGTACCATACCAGGAGGGAAGTGACAAAAAGTTTAGAGGTGAAAACCTGCCACCTTAGACGAAGAAATGGGACGCACAACGCATGATAGATTTTATTCGTTCGCGTAATCAAGCTCTTGATAGACAATGAAGACTTGATGAGGAGAATGAAAAGGCAAAGAAGAAGAAGCACGTTGAAGTTGTTGATACTGAAAGGCGTATTAAGGCCAGATTTGACTCCTTCAGGATTGTCACATGGAATGAGCCATATGCAACTCTTACCAGTGCCATCTTTGATATTTTAAGGACCAACGCTGCTTCATTCATAGATGGAATGAATTCAACAAAGTCGATCAAATGGTGGAGATGTGGTGTTGTTGCATGAGGAGAATATCCTTGAAACTTTCAACAATTATCAAAGCTTAAGGATTACAAATTACTATGACAATCTAGTGATAAGAGATAACGTCAGGGCCACAAGAGAGCAAATCAACAAGATCCTAGATCAAGCAGCAGCCAAGGCAAGGAAGCAACAAGAAGAGCAAGGTTATAGGCTGCGTAATGAATAATTTTGTAATATTTATTTAATTCGAGCTTTCATTGTCAAATTGATGTAATTGTAACACTTCTTGAGATAATGAATAAAATATTTTGTGTGGGTTGCGTAGAGTTTAAGTATTTACAGCATTTAAATTCCTAGAACTTCAATTGTTAAACTCAATTATGAGTTGAGTGTAATGAAAAATTCTTTTCATGGATCATTATAGCTTCATAATTTGGGTATAGGTTTTGACATCATCAAAAAGGGAGAAATTGTTAGGAACATTTTGTTTTAGATCTTGATCTTGATGATACCAATCATTTAGTAATTTAGACTTAGGTTTATTTCTACTCAACATTCGAATAGTCTGAATAGTACCTCGAGTAGTCACAGTTTGGTTCAATAAAACATCCAAATGATAACTCAAATGGTCACGTTTCGATCAGTTTCAACAAACGATTTGAATAGTAACACGAATGGTTACCTTTCGAATAGCTCAAGATTAAGACTAGAAGACTGAAGACTGAAGATTCGAAGAGTAGAAGAACGAATGGTAAAGTCAACCATTTGTAGCCTAAAGGTTGCAAAGGTCGAATGATGGAAGGACCTACCTTTCGAAGTACTAATAGGGACGAATGGTAAAGTCAACCATATGAACAAGAAAAATTCAAAGAATATATGTATTTAAATTTCAAAAGGTGCGCATGTACAAAATATCTATCAAGGAAATTGTGCTGGAGTATTTCAACACTAAAAATCAGCTTGCTGATATTCTAAATAAACCTTTGAGTGATCTCGAGTTGGGAATGATAGAGATGAATTAAAGCCATTTTAACCTTTTTGCTCAACTCAAGAAGAGTTAATTAGTTGGGAACGATATGACTACTCTGTATGGCGTCCAGAGTTAATCACGTGCTTTAATCATTCATGTACTTAAGATACTTATTCAAACAGTTAAAACTCATTAAACCCAAAAAGAACTATGGAATACTTGGTTTAGAACCAAATAAACAATTCGATAAGACAACCAAATCATTTATCTTTTTATCCTACGGAGCATGTAATTACTAGGCATGATGTGTACTCAGTTAATTCCCTCAGACAGACTAATAAAAGCTAAATTGACCATATTTAACTTAATTAATCTCAACACAAATCATAGGATAAAACACAATCAATTAACAACATTTAAACCCAAATCACTACAAAAGCATCATTGTAATTTCATCATATTCCTTGTAGAATTATTTAGCAACCCATAATTAAAGGATTAATCATACTAACACTTCTGTACAACTTTACGAACCAGAATTCATAAACTCAAAAGGGTAGTTCTTAATAACTTATTAAAAGAATTAAAGTGCTACCAAATTAAATAAGAAACCAAAACTGACGAGTTGCGGCGTCGAACAGGAGTTCACAATTGTCATGAACGGAATTCGTCGCTGATAAACTCCATGTTTTTCATATCTTTGAGTCAAGTGGATACATCTATTTATACAAGACTATACATACTAACTATGGTAAAAATCAATAAAATCCCTAATATAGTATACACAAAATCCCTAAGATCATATTGAATATAATCCTACCATATAATGTCTAACACTCCCCCTCAAGTTGGATCATAGATATTGATCACGCCCAACTTGTTACATAAGTAATTCACTCAAGGCCCATTCATGGCTTTTGTAAAAAGATCTCCTAATTGTTCTTCTATCTTCACAAATCCTGTAGAAATTAAGCCTCGTTGTATCTTTTCACGAATGAAATGACAATCAACTTCAATGTGCTTGGTTCATTCATGGAAGACAGGATTGACTGTAATATGGAGAGCTGCCTGATTGTCACACCATAGCTTCGTAGGGATAGGAGCCTTGAGTCCTATCTCATTCCGAATGTGATATATCCACATAATTTCCCGTCTAGCTTGTGTCATTCCTCTATACTCTACACTTGATCGTGAGACAACATTCCGCTTCTTACTTTTCCATGAGATCATGTTCCCACTAAAGAAGACACAAAATCCGGTTGTAGATCTTCGATTCTCCTTAGACCCTGCATAGTCTGCATCTGCAAAACACTCAATCTTCATATGTCCATAGGTTTGATATACAATTCCACGCCCTGGAGCCCCTTTCAAGTAGTTCAACAGCTCTCCAATGATCACCAGTTGGAGATGCCATAAACTGACTTACAATACTAACTGATTAAGCAATATCAGGCCGGGTTATAGTCAGATAGTTTAGCTTCCCCTCTGGTGTCAACTGTGAATTTGGAATCATTGGAGTATTGCAGAGCTTAGCTCCCAATTTCCCTGTCTTTGTCAATAGATCAAGTACATATTTTCTTTGGGAGAGAAATATACCTTTCTTACTCCGTATTACCTCGACACCTATAAAGTACTTTAATGTTCCAAGATCTTTAGTCTGAAATTGACTATGAAGAAAGGTCTTAAGAGATGCAATACCAGCGGTGTCACTACTTGTGATGACAATGTCATCCACATAGACAACTAATAAGATAGTACCTGTTTTAGAATACTTATAAAAAACAGAATGATCAGACTTCCCTTTCACCATGCCAAACCTTTCAATTGCTTGACTGAACTTTCCAAACCATGCACGAGGGCTTTGTCTTAAGCCATATAGAGACTTGCGAAGGCGACAAACTTTA